TCTAAACACTTCTACATTAATGTGGATGCTACCATGATTACGGATAATCCTGAATGAATCGTAAATAATGATGAGTGAGAAAGTTACAGACACACAAATATCATACCCCAAGACATGCTGACCTATCAACATTACAATAACAGGGGAGGTTAGCATTTTTTGGGGGGTATGATATTTCTGTGTCTAACTTTCTCACTCATTCCTTCAGGGTTATCCATAATCATGGTAGCATCCACATTATTGTAGAAGTGTTTAGAAACATTTTATATTCATTTTTACAATAACAATGAGTCCAAAATGACCGCCACATCATTCATTACCAAATTCAGCTGAGGTCTAGGGGATAATTTGTACCAAATACAATGCTTTTAGTTTTAGAGATGTTCAGGACCAGTTTATTACTAGCCACTCATTCCCAAACTGACTGCAACTCTTTGTTTAGGGTTGTAATGATTTCACTAGCTGTAATGCAAATAAAGAAAAACCCTTGAATGAGTAGGTATGTCCAAGCTTTTTACTGATACTGTACGTTTTTCCAATAACAGATTATGGTCAATAATATCAAAGGCTGCACTGAAGTCTAATAATACAGCTGCCACGATCTTCTGATGATCTGACACATTTCTTTCCCTTTTCCTAAGGCACCTCCATAATGGTATATTTTGTGAAATTCATTCAGTAATGATGGCTTTGGTAGACTAATATCAGCATGATTATGGCAAGTGTAATTGTTTGCACAGACTAAATATATATGGGCTACAGCAAGAGTTTGTGACAATTCAATCAACAGGTTTGGCGTATTATACATATCCACAAGTGTAGCCTATCTACTTTACACATTTGATGCGCTAGAGGGACATCTAGTGGTTACTGGGTGACGGTGCACACACTTTAACTCAAGTTAAGGTACATTTTGGTTTGTGTGGCTATGGGGTCTGTTAGGTTCCATCCATCGAAACCTTCAGATATTCTATGTTTGGAACCCAGTTCCCTTGAGGAAGTATCCTATTTTTTATTTTTATTTTTTTTATTTAACCTTTATTTAACCAGGTAAGCCAGTTGAGAACAAGTTCTCATTTACAACTGCGACCTGGCCAAGATAAAGCAAAGCAGTGCAATAAAAATAACAACACAGAGTTACATATGGGGTAAAACAAAACATAAAGTCAAAAATACTACAGAAAATATATATACAGTGTGCGAATGTAGTAAGTTATGGAGGTAAGGCAATAAATAGGCCATAGTGCAAAATATTTACAATTTCGTATTAACACTGGAATGATAGATGTGCAAAAGAAGATGTGCAAATAGAGATACTGGGGTGCAAATTAGCAAAATAAATAACAATATGGGGATGAGGTAGTTGGGTGGGCTAATTTCAAAATGGCTGTGTACAGGTGCAGTGATCGGTAAGGTGCTCTGACAACTGATGCTTAAAGTTAGTGAGGGAGATAAGAGTCTCCAGCTTCAGAGATTTTTGCAGTTCGTTCCAGTCATTGGCAGCAGAGAACTGGAAGGAATGGCGGCCAAAGGGGGTGTTGGCTTTGGGGATGACCAGTGAGATATACCTGCTGGAGCACAGACTACGGGTGGGTGTTGCTATGGTGACCAGTGAGCTAAGATAAAACGGGGATTTGCCTAGCAGTGATTTATAGATGACCTGGAGCCAGTGGGTTTGGCGACGAATATGTAGTGAGGCCAGCCAACAAGAGCATACAGGTCACAATGGTGGGTAGTGTATGGGGCTTTGGAGACAAAACGGATGGCACTGTGATAGACTACATCCAATTTGCTGAGTAGAGTGTTGGAGGCTATTTTGTAAATGACATCGCCGAAGTCAAGGATCGGTAGGATAGTCAGTTTTACGAGGGCATGTTTGGCAGCATGAGTGAAGGAGGCTTTGTTTGCGAAATAGGAAGCCAATTCTAGATCTAACTTTTGATTGGAGATGCTTAATGTGAGTCTGGAAGGAGAGTTTACAGTCTAACCAGATACCTAGGTATTTGTAGTTGTCCACATACTCTAGGTCAGACCCGCCGAGAGTAGTGATTCTAGTCGGGTGGGCGGGTGCAAGCAGCGTTCGGTTGATGTCAATGCAAATAAAACTGTGTTTCTGCCAGTGACAATGTCAGTTTCCATGTTTGGTTTGAAGATATTATGCTGTAATGAAAAGGACTGACTACAATTTTTTATTGTCAGTTAGCAGATGCTCTTATCCAAAGCAACTTACAGGAGCAATTAGGGTTAAGTGCCTTGATCAAGGACACATTGACTGATTTTCCACCTGGTCTGCTCAGGGATTTGAACCAGCAACCTGCTGATCCAATCATGTGAAAGTTGACCTATGGGGGCAAAATGCAACTTACAGGGTTCATGCTATAAATGCACACCTATTTATCCATGATATGAGTCAGTTCCCCCTTTTTTCTGAATCCTCCTGTAGCTCAGTTGGTAGAGCATGGCGCTTGCAACGCCAGGGTTGTGGGTTCGATTCCCACGGGGGGCCAGTATGAAAAACGTATGCACTCACTAACTGTATGTCGCTCTGGATAAGACCGTCTGCTAAATGACTAAAATGTAAAATAACAAGTTGACCTTTTGACTTAAGTATTGTACTCAGTCTGTTGATTTAAAAAGGGGGTAAATAATGTTGTGTTTCTTGTTGCATCCAACCACGGTGCATGTGTATTTAAAGGTCTGTGGATAAACTAAAAAGGTCTCTCTCTGCAGGCTGCCTTCCCTATATCTCTGGCTCCCTCCATGGCAGCTGATGACTACAACCCTGTAAGTATTGGAGAGTATCTATAGGTCTCTGTCTCTAAGAACGTTTTTTTTAATGGCATTTATTCTAAGGCAGGCAGGATTCACAAATTGTGTCGGCAATTCCTTTCTCATATGATGTCATCATTAAATATATAAATGAACTTCATACACTGAACAAAAATATAAACGCAACATTGGTCCCATGTTTCAAGAGCTGAACAAAAAATTCGCTGATATTTTACATATGCACAAAAAGCTAATTTCTCTCAAATTTTGTGCACAAATTTGTTTACTTCCCTGTTAGTGAGCATTTCTCCTTTGCCAAGATAATCCATCCACCTGACAGGTGTGGCATATCAAGAAGCTGATTAAACAGCATGATCAGGTGCCCCTTGTGCTGGGGACAATAAAAGGCCACTCTAAAATGTGCAGTTTTGTCACACAACACAATGCCACATGTTTCATGTTTTGAGGGAACGTGCAATTGGCATGCTGACTGCAGGAATGTCCACCAGAGCTGTTTCGAGAGAATTGAATGTTTATTTCTCTACCATAAGCTGCATCCAACGTTGTTTTAGAGAATTTGGCAGTACGTCCAACTGGCCTCACAACCGCAGACCATGTGTATGGCGTTGTGTGGGTGAGCGGTTTCCTGATGTCAACATTGTGAAAAGAGTGCCCCATGGTGGAGGTGGGGTTTTGGTATGGGCAGGCATAATCTACGGGCTACGTATACATTTGCATTTTATCGATGGCAATTTGAATGCACAGAAATACCGTGACAAGATCCTGAGGCCCATTATGAGGGCCATTTTTTTTCAGGTATCAAATCAAATTTTATTTGTCACATGCGCCAATTACAAGCAGTGTAGACCTACCGTGAAATGCTTACTTACAAACCTTAACCAACCATGCAGTTTTAAGAAAATAGAGTTAAGAAAATATTTACTAAATAAAATAATGTTTAGAAAAGTAACACAATAAAATAACAAGGCTATATACAGGGGGTACCGGTACGGAGTCAATGTGCGGGGGTACAGGTTAGTCGAGATAATTCGGGTAATTTGTACATGTAGGTAGGGGTAAAGTGACAATGCATATCTGTATTCCCAGTCATGTGAAATCCATACATTAGGGCCTAATTTATTTATTTCAATTGACTGATTTCCTCATTGGAACTGTAACTCAGTAAAATCTTTGAAATTGTTGCATGATGCGTTTACATTTTTGTTCAGTATATATAAAAAATACGTTATTTGATTTCTTGTGAATACCGCATTTCGAATATCTCAGAGAGAATGAGAAAGAGAGAATGAAAACACTAGAGAGACAGAAGAGGATGTTAGAGAGCGAGAGAATTAAACACAAGATGGCAACAAATGATTATGTTTGAGAGAGACAGAGAGCGAGAGCGATATATGTGACACTGGTGGTGTGAAACAGGATGTTACAGATATACTATAGTTGAGGTTATTGGGTGAGGGACTGTCTGATCGAGCACTACCTTCAACCACCAATCTCCTGAACTACTTACTATCTGACCTCTTACTACCTTTCTTCTGTTCTCTAAGGTTTCCCTGAGACAGAAGTCCAGGAGGAAGACTCGAGGAGGTAAGTTGTTATCCAGGCCTGATTCTGCTTCTTGCTGTCTGTGCCCTCAACTGTAATTTGGCCCCTTGATGTGGGCGTGTGTGAAGTGACAGGATGATTAGTGTGTGTGTGTGGAGGGTTGTGTTGAAGATGCCTTAAGACAAGGCTCAGCAAGAGAGCCCAGTATTATTAGCCTTCTGTTCATGGGCAGTTACTGTATGCTGAGCAGTCTGTGCTTCATTGTGTGTGATATACATCCTTTGGAAGACCTTTTTGACTACTTTCTACTACTTTCTGTCTGACAACTTACATGTGACACAGGTAGGCTGAAAGTGGTTAAAATAGATTCTGAATTTGCTGTACTTGGAACACTGTAGCTTTAATACAGTATCAGCAGGTGAACCTTACACCGCATACATCTCTTTAACAAATCTGTTGCGTTAAGTAGGATGTTCAATTTGGAGTCATTGCTCTCATAAATATGTAAATATGATTTGTACCTTGCTGAAGATAATTTATTAGATCAATCAAAGTGTCTTATTAAAATGGCTGCATGGCAATACATTGAAATGGAGGGTTAATTGTTGCATCCAACCACGGTACATTAATTCAGGAACTATTTCCTCTGTGTGTGTTTCTGTGTTCAGGCAATGTGACAATGAGCAGACGGAGGGTCTCTGTTAAAGAGCTGGGGGAATCTGACCACCAGGGCTGGCTCAACAGGAAGAAGGAAGGAAAGGGCTTCCTGGGCTTCAAATGGAAGAAGTACTGGTTTGTGCTGAAGAATACTTCCCTGTACTGGTACACTAATCCGCTGGTGAGTAACGCTCACACTTAGCCCGCTACGCTGAGTCATCCTGTCATTGCCACAGCTGCCTGCTGCCTCTTGTCACTGCTGGAAATTAGTCCGTCTGACATGGCGTTTCCTGAAGCTGGAAGTGTCCGTTTCTTCTACAGAGACGGATGTGATCTACATGACTTACTGGCATGATGGAGGAATTAATAAAGCCTATGTTTACCATGTGTCCAAACAAATTTGAGGGAACTAGAAATTGAGAAAAGGTGGCGGGTGTTTCAAGTTTGAATGTCAAGTGCACAAGTACAGTGAAATGCCTTTTTTTGCAAGCTCTGAACTCAACAATGCGTAAATCAATATCAAGAATTGAAGGTGTTATGAATTAGGTGATGGTGCTTGGAATAGTGTTTATGTTTTCATTGCTTTGAAAGGGGATTCCCTTTAATGCTAAGCATCTGTCAATCCTGTCTTATTTTTAGGCAGAGAAAGCAGAGGGATACATTAACCTGACTGACTTCATGATCGACAGAGCACTGGAGTGCAAGAAAAAATTGTAAGTAACTTGTTTCTTATTTTACTAAATCACTGTTGGTTTAAAAATGGTCAATGAATCTATTCCAGGTAATCAATGACCATTTACTGACACTTTTTCAATCTGAGCAGAGTGTGAATGATTGAACACAAAGTGTGAAAATGAATGTTCACCTCTCTCTGTCTCTTGCAGTGCCATCAAAGCATGTCACCCGCAAGTCATGATGTTTTACTTTGCAGCTGATACCTACGAGGAGATGAACATGTAAGTCACATGAAAAGAGTGTCATGTAAGTCATGTTAAGAGTGTCATCATAGAAACACAGTGAGGAATGTGACCGTCTCTCTCGGTTTGTCTTTTGCAGATGGTTGAATAAGCTTGGGCTCGCTTCAGTCCAATATGAACCAGCAGAGAGCAACACTGCTGGTAAGTTTTCATGTTGATCAGTCAGAATGATTTATCAGTTGTGGTCCATTCCACCAAATGACTTATTCTGTTCTTTACTACTATTGCCTCAGTATCACTTCTGATTGTTTGTCAAGCATTTTGACTCTGTATGTGTCCAGAGTGCTACAGCGAGGCAAGTGATCACGAGGAGGCTGAGATGATGGAGGCTCCCCCTCCTCCATACTCAGAGCAGATGAGCCAGGACTCTGTGGATGTGGGTGGTCCACCTGGCAGTGGACATCAGGTCAGTAGGCACTGGGCAGTTGAGGAAGCTCTGGTAATTAAGGCTAGGAGTTTTTCCTAACCGTGTGACCTGACCAAGAAAAACTTTGGGCCCTAGTTACACTGTGTTGCATTGAGCGTTAAAGTGGCACTCCAGTCTTTTCACCTCATTTAACACCTGATTTACTTAACAAAAGGCACATCTCAATAGCTAGTCCAGATATGTCATGACATGGCACAAGTGGGGCCTTTCCTCTTTTGTTCTCTATTGTTCCTCAAGCAAGGGGGAGGCTGATGACATCACGTATTCCCATCAGACCAACTCCTTGAATGCCCTACTCCTTAAAGTTTGCAGTTGTCTAAAACATATGCTTAAAACATATTTTTTTTAGCCTTTAGTGCGTGTGCTTTACTGTATTTATACTTGGGATATCGCTTTTCAACAGTAAAAGTTCAAAAATCCTGTTGAACAACATCCTTAATGTTCATGTCTCTCAGGATAGCCTCCCTCCCCCCTACTCCTTCCCCCCTCCCAGCGAGACCAATGGATCCTTCTCCTCACCTGTCAGCACGATGACATCACAGAGTTCCGTGTCCTCTCTGGCCAAGCATCGTCAGTCCTGGCTGGACCTGGTCTCGCAGGCCTCTCCTGTTGCCGGGGAAACGGTGGTGTGCTCTGTGCAGGTCCACACACATCGGCCCCCACAGCATCAGGAGAACGAGGAGCCCCTACAGCACCACCAGGAGGCTTCATCCTACCAGGACCCCCCAGGGAGCACAGCCAGGGAGGAGGACTTTAACCCCAGGGAGCAGACAGAGGAGGTGGCTGTGCTAGGAATAGGGACAGAAGATGGTGAGAAGGCTTCTTTAGCTGTTTTTTTTTCTCTGAACAATTGTTGACTTAAATAAGGGGAACATATTACTTAATTAATTGAGAAGGAAAATTCACCCATCTCACAAATTCTGTGATATTAAGGAAAAGTGAGAGCAGTAGTTGTGCACTTTGGATGCCTTTTGTTCTTATGTGATCAGACCTGTGGATAGGAGATGTGCAAGTAGAACACATTTCCTGTTGCCTCTGGTTGTGTAATGTTACAGCGTTGGTCTTTGGCAGCACATTAGAGCTTGACAGTAAAAATACACTACATGACCAAAAGTATGTGGACACCTGCTCGTCGAACATCTCATTCCAAAATCATAGGCATTAATATGGAGTTGGTCCCCCCTTTGCTGCTATAACAGCCTCCACTCTTCTGGGAAGGCTTTCCACTAGATGCTGCAGGGACTTGCTTCCATTCAGCCACAAGAGCATTAATAAGGTCGGGCACTGATGTTGGGCGATTAGGCCTGGTTCAACGTAGGGGTTCCAATTCATCCCAAAGGTGTTCGATGGGGTTGAGGTCAGGGCTCTGTGCAGGCCAGTCAAGTTCTTCCACACTGATTTCAACAAAGCATTTCTGTATGGACCTCACTTTGTGCACGTTGGCATTGTCATGCTGAAACAGGAAAGGGCCTTCCCCAAACTGTTGCCACAAAGTTGGAAGCACAGAATTGTCTAGTATGTACAGTGGGGAAAAATAGTATTTAGTCAGCCACCAATTGTGCAAGTTCTCCCACTTAAAAAGATGAGAGAGGCCTGTAATTTTCATCATAGGTACACGTCAACTATGACAGACAAAATGAGGAAAAAAATCCAGAAAATCACATTGTAGGATTTTTTATGAATTTATTTGCAAATTATGGTGGAAAATAAGTATTTGGTCAATAACAAAAGTTTCTCAATACTTTGTTATATACCCTTTGTTGGCAATGACACAGGTCAAACGTTTTCTGTAAGTCTTCACAAGGTTTTCACACACTGTTACTGGTATTTTGGCCCATTCCTCCATGCAGATCTCCTCTAGAGCAGTGATGTTTTGGGTCTGTCGCTGGGCAACACGGACTTTCAACTCCCTCCAAAGATTTTCTATGGGGTTGAGATCTGGAGACTGGCTAGGCCACTCCAGGACCTTGAAATGCTTCTTACGAAGCCACTCCTTCGTTGCCCGGGCGGTGTGTTTGGGATCATTGTCATGCTGAAAGACCCAGCCATGTTTCATCTTCAATGCCCTTGCTGATGGAAGGAGGTTTTCACTCAATCTCACGATACATGGCCCCATTCATTCTTTCCTTTACACGGATCAGTCGTCCTGGTCCCTTTGCAGAAAAACAGCCCCAAAGCATGATGTTTCCACCCCCATGCTTCACAGTAGGTATGGTGTTCTTTGGATGCAACTCAGCATTCTTTGTCCTCCAAACACGACGAGTTGAGTTTTTACCAAAAAGTTCTATTTTGGTTTCATCTGACCATATGACATTCTCCCAATCCTCTTCTGGATCATCCAAATGCACTCTAGCAAACTTCAGACGGGCCTGGACATGTACTGGCTTAAGCAGGGGGACACGTCTGGCACTGCAGGATTTGAGTCCCTGGCGGCGTAGTGTGTTACTGATGGTGGGCTTTGTTACTTTGGTCCCAGCTCTCTGCAGGTCATTCACTAGGTCCCCCCGTGTGGTTCTGGGATTTTTGCTCACCGTTCTTGTGATCATTTTGACCCCACGTGGTGAGATCTTGCGTGCAGCCCCAGATCGAGGGAGATTATCAGTGGTCTTGTATGTCTTCCATTTCCTAATAATTGCTCCCACAGTTGATTTCTTCAAACCAAGCTGCTTACCTATTGCAGATTCAGTCTTCCCAGCCTGGTGCAGGTCTACAATTTTGTTTCTGGTGTCCTTTGACAGCTCTTTGGTCTTGGCCATAGTGGAGTTTGGAGTGTGACTGTTTGAGGTTGTGGACAGGTGTCTTTTATACTGATAACAAGTTCAAACAGGTGCCATTAATACAGGTAACGAGTGGAGGACAGAGGAGCCTCTTAAAGAAGAAGTTACAGGTCTGTGAGAGCCAGAAATCTTGCTTGTTTGTAGGTGACCAAATACTTTTTTTCCACCATAATTTGCAAATAAATTAATTAAAAATCCTACAATGTGATTTTCTGGAATAATTTTTCTCATTTTGTCTGTCATAGTTGACGTGTACCTATGATGAAAATTACAGGCCTCTCATCTTTTTAAGTGGGAGAACTTGCACAATTGGTGGCTGACTAAATACTTTTTTCCCCCACTGTAATTGTATGCTGTAGCGTTAAGATTTCCCTTCACTGAAACTAAGGGGCCCGAACCATGAAAAACAACCCCAGACCATTATTCCTCCTCCACCATACTTTACAGCTGGCACTATGCATTTGAGCAGGTAGCGTTCTCCTGGCATCCACCAAGCCCAGATTTGTCCGTCGGACTGCCAGATGGTGAAGTGTGATTCATCACTCCAGAGAACGCGTTTCCACTGCTCCAGAATCCAATGGCAGCGAGCTTTACACCACTCCAGCCGACGCTTGGCATTGTGCATGGTGAACTTAGGCTTGTGTGTGGCTGCTCGGCCATGGTACCCATTTAATGAAGCTCCTGACGAACAGTTATTGTGCTGACGTTGCTTCCAGAGGCAGTTTGGAACTCAGTGGTGAGTGTTGCAACCGAGGACTATTTTTACGCGCTATGCGCTTCAGCACTCTGCAGCCCCGTTCTGTGTGCTTGTGTGGCCTACCACTTCTCGGCTGAGCCGTTGTTGCTCCTAGACGTTTCCACTTCACAATAACAGAATACATTTGACGAACTGACTTGTTGGAAAGGTGGCGGCAAGTGCTGGTTAAGTGTTATGGGGGGATCGAGGTGAGGAGGAGGATTATTTAAAATACTGTTTGGAGAGGTAGGGCTTCAGATGTTTTCGGAAGATGGGCAGGGACTCTGCTGTCCTAGCTTCAGGAGGAAGCTGGTTCCACCATTGGGGTGCCAGGACAGAGAAGAGCTTGGACTGGGCTGAGTGGGAGCTGCCCTCCCGTATGGGTGAGAGGGCCAAGAGACCTGAGGTGTCAGAACGGAGTGCTCGGGTTGGGGTGTATGATTTGAGCATAGCCTGAAGGTAGGGAGGGGTAGTTCCTCTTGCTGTTCCGTAGGTAAGCACCATGGTCTTGTAGTGGATGCGAGCTTCGACTGGAAGCCTCCTGTGCTAAGAATACAGTACATTTTCTAATGACTGTCAATTAACCAGTTGGAAAAAAAGATTAACCGAAGCAGTTATAGTCAACACTATTTAAATCCTGTCAATGAGCTTTAAATCACTCAATGTTCTGTTTAACCATTTTTGAGTAAGGAAATTGACCTCAAACTTCATCCTACTTTATCATTAGGGATTTTTGTTTAGTAGTAAATATATAAATATTTTTCTGCTGAAATATAAAGTTCCTAAGGTCCATTGTATTGTTCTTGCAGTGAACCATGAAGCCACATCTGACGAGATGGAGAGACTGTACATCCACCTCAAGCAGGCCAGCCTCTCTCCCATAGGAGACCGCAAACCATCCACCAAGAGGGACTTCAGAGCCTCCTTTATAAAGCGATGCAAAAACCAGGACATTAACGAGAAACTGCATCTCATCAGGACCCTCAACAGCACGTTAAAGGTACATTCGCCAACTTGACTAGAATTATTGTATGCTTTTGTTTTTATCCGTTTATCACCACATATGTGGCAGTATCAAATTGATGTCCTTGTTTTCTGTACAAATTGTATGTGCTGTTTATGCGTCATTTTGAATAGTATTACAAGTATTGAGACCCTTGAGCATAGTTACACTCTCTGTCTCTCTCTTCCCGTTTGACTCAGGCTAAGGAGGCAGACCTGTTGACCATCGAGCAGGTGCTGTCAGACCCTGACCTCACCTCGCCCAGATTCAGGGAATGGAAAGAGGCCAACACTCCTTTGCTCCAGGAGATCTGTCTCAAGCATGTACACCAGGTGGCAGCACGGGTAGAGCCCTCCGCAGCAGCAGCCAATGCCATCGCTGGCCGCTTTGTGGAGACCAGTTTATAAGGGAGTAGGATGAAGTTGCCCCTAAACATTGATCTAATGTCAGTTTTGAGTTTATCCTACTAATGCTTATGGTTAGGATTTGGGATGGATGAGCTGATTGTGGACCTGTGCCTAAGGGCAACTTTTACTCAGACTGTTTATAAGACTCACTGCCATTACTGTCTACCCATAACCCAGTAGCACTAATAGTTGTACTTAGGCAGCGTTTTTATCAAACTACATACATTAGGAAGCAGCTCATGTGTTGACTCTCCACTAAGTGGACTCATGATAAGAAGAAAGTGTGTATTTTTTTTAAAGTTCTTAAATGGAGTTGGTGCAAACATTTGATTTATTGGATTAAATTATATGGTTTTATATTGTTAATATTGTTGTAATTGATCTTTTTATGTTTAGATATGTAACAATTTACTGTTTTTATTCTGTTGTGATGTGTACAGTATTTGTGTTCGCTTGTATTTGTGGCATTTTAAGTAGTGAGTGATGGAACATTGGGTACATATGTCCATCTCTCTGAAAACGAATTTCCAAGTGTTTATTTTGCAACATGATCAGTAGCCCGTAGGACAAGGTTTTATTTTCTAATAGTTTTACAAACAGTGCCACAGACATGCACTAGTACTGCCTTGAAATGCATGTAAGCTTTTGAGCTGAACTTTTGTGACCTAGACTGTTATCTTGGTTACATCAGGATCATGATACTTTTGTGGGTTTGCCTAGATACAGCAATGTTGAATTATAAAATGTATGTGATAGGTGTTACATTCAGATCCTAATACTTTTATGGAGATGTTGTTATGCAATCATAACATTTTGTGCCAGCAACAATTAATCGTTAATTGTAATTTAGATGATTTAGCTGTGTGGTAAATATTTTAAGTTGTTTTAGCATTGTAAATAAAATAATTGTACATAAGTGTAAGTTGTGTACAGTTCTATTCTCTTTTCATTGGTAAATTATCATGAAGTGCCTGTAAGAGTAATAAAGCGTTTAAATGCTCTGTGTTATAAATATGTTTTAATCTCTGTATTTTCTTCCTCTGACACAGAGTATGCTTTTTCGAATAAACCATCGGGGTGTTATAGCATTTATTTGGCCACGAGTCGTCGCCAATTACTTTCATTTGTCTACTGGACCTGCGATGCCAGTGTGTGCCACTTGGGTTCGCTGGTTTCTGTGTACTGTTCGTATTGGATTTCATTGAGGTTGTGCGCCATATTGGCAATCTCCTCCATCTCACCAAGCTAGAGCATGTATGCATCAAGCCGGTTGTTGAGAACAATATAAACATTTTACAGCTTACAACGAACCCCAAATACAAGACCATGGAGGCAGTCAAAGCATTCAACGGCGAGGTTTGTAAGATTTCTCCCCCATTTCAATGGAAATGACTGTTAGCGAATTGTATGATTGACGTCAAGCAGAAAATGGGGAGAAGGGCAACTAGACACAAGGCCGCATACTTTCAGTAGACACGGTTTAGCTTCGCCCATGAATATTGACCACCCATTTAGTATTTTTACGTGTAAGCGCTGCTATCTCGTCATTTGGTCATAAATAACAGCTAAATTCAGCGAACTGTAGCTAGGTACAGTAGCGAACTTACTACTGTACTGTTAGCCACATTGCAATCTGGCATTGCGCTAAGAATGTTTAGCTAACGTTAGCTATCTGGCGTGATAGCTAATTTAGCCAGCTAGGCTAACTCAAACAGCTTAAAAATCACTACCTACAACCCTTGTATACTACCCTATCCTATTTAGTTAACTAGTTAGATTATTAGCTGTCACATTCAACTGTAAAGGTTTGCTGGCGAGCTAACTAACAATGTTAGCCAAGCAAGGCCGGGTAAAATGGCTAACGTTAGCTAGCTAGCTAATGTTATGTTTTCGCGTGGTGGACGGGTGCAATGTGTGCAGTTAGCTAGTAAATTATGCAGTAAACCAATTATTGACTTTGTATTACTAGGTACCTCAAATATATCAGTAAGTTAGCAAATATATTTTGTTCCAAACGTATTTTGCCTGGACATCGCGCCAGCGACTTGCCAGCTTGCGCACTCGATTCAGTCATCATTCGTCTGACTGGTATACAGTCATTAGATGGGACTTGTGAACCAAAAGTCCCAATTTAAAATTTTCCTCATACTTCTTATTCTTCTGCACGCTACTCCTCGTACACCATTTAAGTTAGAAACAACATTCAAACTTTAAAATGTGCAGACTGGTCTGGAATAGTGTGCTTACATACAACTTTTTGATATTATTTAGACTTAAACTATATATATTTTTGTCTTTATCCATCTTCATTCACTTTAATGGGACGTTTTTCAACATTCTAAACGCTCCCCATTGTGACATAATCACTTCCAACATTCACTGTAAACAATAACTTTTGACACATCAGCTTTGACCACTTTGCAATCAATTTAAACAAAAAGTAAGAGCATATGAAATCTTCCTCTACTTCTCTGCTATTCAAATCTGAAATAATAACAGTGCTCCATAATGACAAAACAAAAACAGGTTTTTAGACATTTTTGTAGTTAGTGTTATCCGTGATCCATGGGACATCCCTAACCATAACCCTTACCTAACCCTAACCATTTTAAATTTAAACTTCAATCGGGTAGGGACCTCCCAAGAATCCCGGATAGGACCAATAAGTGCCATCGTTGGAACTGAATAAAATATCACAAAACTATGCGTGTATGCCTAATTGGTAGGATTTGTTAGGCCCAAGTACCAAGCAAAACACTGACTGGACTGAACCGGGGTTCAGTGAACCTACAGTGCATTCGGAAAGTATTCAGACCCCTTGACTTTTTCCACATTTTGTTAAGTTACAGCCTTATTCTAAAATGGATTAAATCGTTTTTCCCCCTGATCAATCTACACACAATACCCCATAATGACAAAGCAAACACAGGTTTTTAGACATTTTTACAAATGTATAAAAAACTACATTTACATAATTATTCAGACCCTTTACTCAGTACTTTGTTGAAGCGCCTTTGGCAGCGTTACAGCCTCAAGTCTTGTTGGGTATGATGCTACAAGCTTGGCGCACCTGTATTTGGGGAGGTTCTCCCATTCTTCTTTGTAGTTCCTCTCAAGCTCTGTCAGGTTGGATGGGGGGCGTCGCTGCACAGCTATTTTCAGGTGTCTCCAGAGATGTTAGATCGGGTTCAAGTCCGGGCTCTGGCTGGGCAACTCAAGATCATTCAGAGACGTCCCGAAGCCACTCCTGCGTTGTCTTGGCTGTGTGCTTGGGTCGTTGTCCTGTTGGAAGGTGAACATTCGCACCAGTCTGAGGTCCTGAGCGCTATAAGGCAGGTTTTCATCAAGGATCTCTGTACTTTGCTCCGTTCATCTTTCCCTCGATTCTGACTAGTCTCCCAGTCCCTGCCGCTGAAAAACATCCCCACAGCATGATGATGCTGCCACCACCATGCTTCACCGTAGGGATGGTGCCAGGTTTCATCCAGACGTGATGCTTGGCATTCAGGCCAAAGAGTTCAATCTTGGGTTTCATAAGACCAGAGAATCTTGTTTCTCATGGTTGAGAGTCCTTTAGGTGCCTTTTGGCAAACTCCAAGCGGCCTGTCATGTGCCTTTTACTGAGGAGTGTCTTCCGTCTAGCCACTCTACCAAAAAGGCCTGATTGGTGGAGTGCTGCGGAGATGGTTGTTCTTCTGGAAGGTTCTCACATCTCCACAAAGGAACTATTGAGCTCTGTCAGTGACCATTGGGTTCTTGGTCACCTCTCTGACCAAGGCCCTTCTCCCCCGAGTGCTCAGTTTGGCCGGGCGGTCAGCTCTAGGAAGAGTTTTTGGGATTCCAAACTTCTTCCATTTTAAGAATGATGTAGGCCGCTGTGTTCTTAGGGACCCTTCAATCCTACAGATATTTTTCGGTACCCTTCCCTAGATCTGTGCCTGGACACAATCCTGTCTCGGAGCTCTACGGACAATTCCTTCGACCTCATGGCTTGGTTTTTGCTCTGACATGCACTGTCAACTGTGGGACCTTATATAGACAGGTGTGTGCCTTTACAAATCATGTCCAATCAATTGAATTCACCACAGGTGGACTCCAATGAAGTTGTAGAAAATCTCAAGGACGTTCAATGTAAACAGGATGCACCTGAGCTCAATTTCGAGTCTCAAAGCAAAGGGTCTGAGTATTTATGTAAATAAAGTATTTCTGTTTTTAATTTTTAATACATTTGCTAACATTTCTAAAATCCTGTTTTTTCTTTGTCATTGTAGGGTATTGTGTGTAGATTGAGGGGAAACATAATTTAATAAATTTTAGAGTAAGGCTGTAACGTAACAAAATGTGGAAAAAGTCTGAACTTTTGACCACTTCCCCAGCAAGTTAGTCAAAAAGTTAGAGGGTATGACATCTTTGTCTACTTCACTGTTATTCAAATCTGGCTTTTGAACAATAATATATTCTACCAATAAAAAGTTACAGGTGTTTGTAGGAGTTTAGAGTGACGAAAAGCACCTAGCTAACGTCAGCTAACACCTCTCTCATATCGCGTCATTGAGCAGCCCAAACAGAGCAATTGCTATGGAAGCATTTGCATTTCAATGGCAAAAAAGGTCCATAGACTAGAATTGTAAACTAATCTAAAATACTAGACCTATCTCCTGTTTCACCGCTTAAGCTATTACATTTTAGTCATTTAGCAGACGCTCTTATCCAGAGCGACTTACAGTCAGTGAGTGCATACATTTTTTCATACTGGTCCCCCGTGGGAATCGAACCCACAACCCTGGCGTTGCAAGTGCCATGCTCTACCATCTGAGCTACACGGGACTCTAAACTAACACTCTCTACTCTACTTAGATTGCTTGTCAAAAGATTTGATACTATATATAATTTTTGAACTATAACCCTTTTAAAATGTACATAAATTAAAATTG